CATCTTCTTTATGCATACATCAGTTGATGGACATTTAGAATCTTTCCGTGATTTGGCTATTGTTGAAAGTGCTGCTATAAACATTGGGGTACCTGTACCCCTACGAATGAGCACTCCCGTATCCTTTGGATGAATTCCTAGTGGTGCTATTGCTGGGTCGTAGGGTAGTTCTACTGTTAATTTTTTGAGGAACCTCCACACTGTTTTCCAGAGTGGCTGTACCAGTTTGCATTCCCACCAACAGTGCAAGGGGGTTCCCTTTTCTCTAGCTCCTCACCAACATCTGTTGTTTCCTGAGTTGTTACTTTTTGCCACTCTGACCAGTATGAGGTGGTTATCTCAGTGTGGTTTTGCTTTGTGTTTCCCTGATGATGAGTGACGTTGAGCCTCTTTTCATGTGTCTGTTGGCCGTCTGGATGTCCTCTTTGGAAAAGTGTCTGTTCATGTCTTCTGCCCATTTCTTCACTGGATTATTTGTTTTTGCGAGTGTTGAGTTTGGTAAATTCTTTATAGGTTTTGGATACTACCCCTTTATCTGATACGTCATTTGCAAATATCTTCTCCCATTCTGTCAGTTGCCTTTTAGTTTTGTTGACTGTGTCCTTTGCTCTGCAGAAGCTTTTTATCTTGATGAGGTCTCAGTAGTTCCTTTTTGCTTTTAATTCCTTTGCCTTTGGAGATGTGCTGAGCAAGAAACTGCTGCAGCTGAGGTCAAAGAAGTTGTTCCCCGCTTTCTCCTCTGGGATTCTGATGGTTTCCTGTCTCACATTTAGGTCTTTCATCCATATTGAATTTACTTTTGTGTATGATGTAAAAAAGTGGTCTAGTTTCATTCTTCTGCATGTTGCTGTCCAGTTCTCCCAGCATCATCTGTTAAAGAGGCTGTCTTTTTTCTACTGGATACTCTTTCCTGCTTTGTCAAAGTTTAAGTGGCTAGACATTTGTGGGTCCAATTCTGGGTTCTGTATTCTCTTCCATTTGTCTATGTGTCTGTTTCTGTACCAATACCATACTGTCTTGATGATTACAGCTTTGTAGTAGAGGCTAAAGTCTGGGATAGCGATACCTACTGTTTTGGTTTTCCTCTTCAATATTACTTTGGCTATTCGGGGTCCTTTGTGTTTCCATACAAATTTTAGGATTGTTTGTTCTAGCTTTGGGAAGAAGGTCAATTCAATTTTGATTGGGATTGTGCTGAATGTATAGATTGCTTTGGGTAGTACTGACGTTTTAACAATATTTATTCTTCCAATCCATGACCATGGAATGTTTTCCCATTTCTTTGTGTCTTCTTCAATTTCCTTAATAAGCTTTCTAACAGTTTTCAGCATACAGATCCTTTACATCTTTGGTTAGGTTTATTCCTAGGTATTTTATGGTTCTTGTACAACTGTAAATGAGATCAGTTTCTTTTTTTCTCTTTCTGTTGCTTCACTACTGGTATATAAAAATGCAGCCAATTTCTGTCCACTGATTTTGTATCCTGCGATTTTGCTAAATTCACGTATCAGTTCTAGGATTCTTTTGGTGGAGTCTTTTGGGTTTTCCACAAAAGTATCCACAGTATCATGTCGACTGTGGGAAGTGAAAGTTTGACTTCTTTTTTTGCCAATTCTAATGCTTTTTATTTCATTTTGTTGATTGCTGATGCTAGGACTTCCAACACTATGTTAAACAACAGTGGTGAGAGCAGACATCCCTACAACAGCCCAGGTTTAAGTTTCCCTTGTTCCCTACTATGCTCTGGACTTCATTGGCCAACACACTCCTAATTGCCTATGCTAAAACTACATTGGCTTTCTGCTGTTCCTTAAGTTTATCAATCACATTCTGGCCTCAGTCATTATATTTACTGTTCTCTCAGCGTGGAATGCAATTTCATGGTTCTCTCACTTCTCTCAGGTATCTGCTCAAATGGTACCTTATCAGTCTACATGCCCTATCCATGAGTGTTCTATCTCAAATTGCACGTATCACACTATGCCCCTTATCCTGCTTTATATACTGAATACTGAAGGAGTGAAATGTTATGATTTCTATTACTTACTTTTAAATAAAATACTTAAATAAAAATAGAATTTTATCTACTAGGAAAGTAGATGAATTAATGACAAAATACTAATGTTCAGTCACCATACTGTACACTTGAAACTAAAATTACATACTACGTTAACTATATTGGAATTAACATTTTTTAAAGATCAATATTAACTGTTCAATCTAGATGATAATTCCTCTATTCATTTACTATTTCTTTATTATTCCAGTGCCTCTTTCTGTATGTATGAAAAAATGTCCCAATTGGGGAAAAAAAAAAGCCAAATGAAAAATGATCTAGAGCACCTAAGTGTCCATCAACGGATGAATGGATCAAGAAGATGTGGTGTATCTATACCATGGAATACTACATGGCAATGAGAAACAATGAAATCTGGCCACGTGTAGCAACATGGATGGACCTTGAGGGTGTGATGCTGAGCGAAATAAGTCAGGCAGAGAAGGACAAATATCATATGTTTGCACGTATAGGAGGATTAGGAGGAACTTGATGGAGGAACAAGGGGGAGAAGAAGGGCGGAAATGGTGGGGGAAAGGGAGAGAGGCAAACCATGAGAGACTCTTGAATGCTGACAAAAACTGAGGACTGATGGATGTGGGGGGGAGGATGGGCATGGAGGAGGGCACTTTGGGGATGAGCACTGAGTGTTATGTGGAAACTAATTTGACAATAAACTATTTGTAAAAAAAAAAAAAAAAAAAAAGAAAAATGATCTAGAGCAAACTATTCCTTCCTTCACAAGCTTCATAAAAGGAGAGTGAAATGCGATGTTGAGGTAAGTTTTGTTTTCTTGGTTTTAAGTTAGAACTCAAAATACCTTTGTACATTTAAGAAATTAAACAGAGGGGCGCCTGGGTGGCTTAGTCGGTTAAGTGTCTGACTTTCGCTTAGGTCATGATCTCACAGTTCGTGGGTTCGAGCCCCGCGTCGGGCTCTGTGCTGACTGCCAGCTCAGAGCCTGGAGCCTATTTCAGAGTCTGTGTCTCCCTCTCTCTCTCTGACCCTCCCCTGCTCACTCTGTCTCTCTCTCTCTCCTAGAAATAAATAAAAATATTTAAAAAAAAATAAATACTAAATAAGAAATTAAACAGAAAGAGGGGATGAAGATAAAGTTAGAAACAACTAATGGAGCAAGGACCTGGAAGAGATGGAAATGACATCCTAAGTTATCACAGTAAAGAAAAAGAAATACTATATTCTGAAAAGGGAAGAAAAGATATATAGCTAACTCTGAAACCTTCAAGTTACAGGAGGAGAAAAATCTTCAGGGAGTTTGAAAATGACGGCTGCTGAATTAACACGTTAAGTAATCTGAAGAGTTAGACAGATATGGCAAAATGGGGATAGAATCTGGAAAAAAGTAGTAAAGTTTGAAATAACCGCCAGGAGAATGGGAGAATTAATCAAGGCCAACAAAAACATACTTGGGAGTGGCAATGCAGATACAACTTATCGCCAGCAATCTGTTCATGGAGTTTTCTCCAACACTAGGCTACATGAATACAAGTACAAACCTCAGAGGAGCTATACTTATTAAGACCAGGGGAAGGCTGTTAAACATCAGAATGGAGATCTTAAAGTGGAACAGAGACATCGCATGAGTAAGGGAATGAAAGAACTAGAGGGTCAGAGATTGATAACAGAATAACTAAAATTTCAGACGTGGGATTATACTGGTGATAAATAAAATCTAAAAGAAGAATCAGTTATCCTGTTATATATAATTAAAGTAAAATAAATTTTCTTTTTTGGTTAGTGTGATTTAAATGTGGTTTTCCCAGGGCACCAGCATGGCTCAGTTGATTAAGTGTCTGACTCTTGGTTTCACTGGGGTCATGATCTCATCGTATTTCAAGGCTTGAGTCAGGTTCTGTACTAACAGTGCAGAGTCTGCTTGGGAATTCTCTCTCTCTCTCTATCAAATAAACTTAAAAAAATAAATAATGGTAAATTAAAATAAATAAATGCGGTTTCATGAAGAGCCTGACATTGACATGGCTCCTAAAGGTTTTTTTCTCAGTAACAGAATATGATAGCTTTTTAATCAATAGTGTCTCAACATGATGGTGTAACATGATTTAGAAATTTCACAGGTAACTTATTAATAATAATAATGAAAGCTCATAAATTGTGGCTTGTTTTTGCAAGTTAGAGCTAATTTAAATAACATAAGTCTCACTCATATTCTAATATACTTCCTGGGGTAGAAACATCTATGGGAGTTATGTCATATACATGAACATAATTTTATGCTGCAGCAGCGAAGCTACTGAGAATTGCTAGCATGTAGTATTGCTATCATTTTAAAGCATCTTGTACCATAGAAACTAGTGTCAGGAATGGTAATTATGATCTCCAGCTAAGATTTATTTAAATACTGGAAGCTAGAGAATTAAGAGCTGTCATTCTTAATACTTTTACCATAGTTCAAAAATTAATCTTTGTGAGCCAAGACTGCTTACACCTTGAACTTCTATCAAATATGTATCAAGAACAGTTTCACTCAAAAATAATAAACAATACAACTTAAATTCTCAATCTATACCTCATACCTGTCTTATTGGCTAGGCTAATCCTGACTTAAGTGACACTTTGGGGTCAAGAGGAAAAGATCAGTGAAGTGGCTCATACCATACAAGTGGTTTTCAAAATAATAGTACACTCACATGTATAAACTCACCAGGTTTCTAATTCCAGTCAATGTGGAAAGGGAAAAGGGAGCTTTATAGGTAATACATAATGGTTCCAAGCACAGCTACTAACAGAAGTATGAAATTCCAACATTAAATTTATGTTATCCAAAACCATCAAACAAAACACTACACTTCTATAAACTGAGGAGGAAAAACACACTTATCACTGGACTCTTTTTGATGCTTCTCTTTAATTTCCTTTATGTTCCAACAAACCATAACTAAACACCAAAATAAAAAATACTTACTTTTTCATTTTTTTTGAGTTATATTTGACTTGGTAAGCTGACTGGATTAATTTGTCTGGACCACCATCAAACTGATGTGGAATGACCTTCTGAAAGTGCTAATAAGACACAATAAAAGAAAAATGTAAGAACTACTTAGTGCTGTTTACTGTTAACTAATTAACAGTAAAATCTAAAGACACTCAAGAAACCATGAACTGACTTACCTGTAACATTCCTTCCATGTCAAGTTGCATCAGTTCTGCCTGATTCATTTGAAGAAGCGCTAATCCTACTCGAAATACTATTTCTAAACCCTGTGGAAACACATTTCATAAAGTCAAACTTGTCTTATTCTTCCAATGACTAATAATCATTCAAAAAAAAAAATACTACGGTAAACATTTAGGGATCTAAACTAGAAACTGGCAAACAACTCTGCAAAAAATTCAGAAAGCAAGTATTTTAGACTTTGTGGGCCATGTGTCACTGTCACAAATACTCAACTCTGCCACTACAACCCGAAAGCAGACAGAAACAACACAACAAAAGGGCATGTCTATGTTCCAAGAAATCTTTTCATAAAAATAAGTGAAAAGACAGATTTGACTCTTGAACCAAAATGGCCAGTACATAAATCAGTTTGCTGGCTCCAAACTAAACTGATTTAATTAGGTAATTTAAACTGATTATCCTAAGATGTAATTAACAACAATCAGCATTGGATTTAAGATGTTCTATTTCTTTTATTTATTTGTTTTTAATTTAAGCACCCAAGGCAGGGCCTGAATTCATGATCCTGAGATCAAGAGTCACATGCTCTACAAGTTGAGCCAGCCAGCTGGCCAATTAAGAATTTATTACCACTTATCACCTAACCTTACCTCCTACCTTCTCACCCAAAATACAGAATAAAAGGAAGATTACTACATGACCATGACAATTAAAAGGACTATCTGCAAAATATTCATGGAATAGAAGAAACTTAATTATGCTCATCACTTCTCTATCTCGCTCTTTGGGTAACAAATGCACTGCAGTAACATTAACTCTAAGGCAAATTTCACCTTTCACCAATTCTCAGTGCATCAATCAGAAGGTGATACAGAGGTCTGATTAAGAGTGTGGACTTCAGGGGCGCCTGGGTGGCTTAGTCAGTTAAGCATCCGACTTTCGCTTAGGTCATGATCTCGCGGTTCGTGGGTTCGAGCCCCGCGTCGGGCTCTGTGCTGACTGCCAGCTCAGAGCCTGGAGCTTGTTTCAGAGTCTGTGTCTCCCTCTCTCTCTGACCCTCCCCTGTTCACGCTGTCTCTCTCTATCCTAGAAATAAAATAAAAATATTAAAAAAAAAAAAAAAAAAGAGTGTGGACTTCAGGGAGCATGGGTGGGTCAGTCAGTTGAGCATCTGACTCTTGATTTTGGCTCAGGTCATAATCCCAGGATCATGGGATCATGTCCTGTGTTGGGCTCCATGCTGAGCATGGTGCCTATTTAAGATTCTCTCTCTCTCAGGCGTGCCTGGGTGGCTCAGTTGGTTAATTAAGCATCTGACATCAGCTTGGGTCATTCAGTTTGTAGGTTTGAGCCCTACGTTAGGCTCTGTTAGTGCCAAGCCTGCTTGTGGTTCCCCCTCACTCTGTGCTTCCCCCTCACTCTGTGCTTCCCCTGCTTGCACTCTCTTGGCTCTCTCATTCTCTCAAAATAAACTTTTTTTTAATCTTAAGGTTACATTTAGTGTTATTTTTTTAAATAATTTATTGTCAAGTTGGTTTCCATATAACAATCAGTGCTCATCCCACCAAGTGCCATCCTCCATGCCCACCACTCCCATCCCTCCTCCCCACACCCATAAGCCCTGTTTGTTCTCAGCATTCAAGAGTCTCTTATGGTTTGGCTCCCTCCATCTCCCCAACTATTTTTCCCCTTCTTCTCCACCATGGTCCTCCATTAAGTTCCTCCTAATCCACCTACACGTGCAAACATATGGTATCTGTCCTTCTCTGCCTGACTTATTTTGCTCAGCATAACAACCTCAAGTTCCATCCATGTTGCTACAAATGGCCAGAACTTTAAAAAAAAAGAATCTCTCTCCCCTTATGCTCCTCTCCCCAATGCACTTGCACTATCTCTCTTAAAAAAACAAACAAACAAACAAACAAAAACACCAAAAGAGTGTGGGCTCCAAATTTTCACTGCCTCCATTTGAATGCTGGTTTACTACACCACTTAGGTGCTGTATCCATTGACAAGCTACTTAACTTTCCTCTAAGTCTCAGCTTCTTCATCTATCATTTATTAAATGGGGAAACTAACAAGTTCTTGGTAGGGTTTTTACAGGTTTAAAGGAGAGTATCCATGTAAGTAGTTTATGATGGGACACATGAGTGTCCTATATTGTTCTCCTCATTGCCCTCCTCTGATGATTAAACCAATGATTCCTTCACTCAGCCTGCCCATCAGCTTACCTCAGACATAAAGATATCAAATATCCTTGTTGCAATTGGTAATGGAAAAGTTGTAAGAAAGATAGTCAGAAACCAGGATGATGCATACATAGAGGTATGAAAACTCTGAGACTGAAAATGTACAAAGAGCTCTGGAAGATGCTCCTAAAGAGAAGAAAATAATTAATTAAAACACAGTAGAACTGAGCATTTTAAACCAGATTATTGTGTGTATACTAGATGAGCCTATTTCAAACACAAAGATTAGATCAGGCATCATTTGGAAAAGTTAAGATGGAGAAATTGGTACTTTCAGTAAAGTGGTAATTATGTGGGAAGGGAAGAAGGAGAAAAGGATGTGGAGTTAGAACTTAAGCTGTATCTAGAACATTTATTAATAAAAGTAACAATTAAAATAAAACTTCAATGTCTGTTTAATCATGTTGGTGGGAACATGGCTGTCTGATATTTTCTGTGCTCTTCCAGAGTAATAATTCCAAAATTATTTTGTAGTTGTAATAATTCCAAAAATAATTTTTTAAAGAAAAGAAATGCCACATTGAAATACTTTCTGGTGCTATCTACCATTGATTACCCATCCTTACCTTCCTACCTTCTCACCCAAAATACAGATGCTTCCTCAATTCTAGTAATTCAAAACATTAATGACACATTAACTGAAAATAAACCAAGAGAAATTAAGGTTGGTTAAAAACATTATTTCATTAAAAATTTATATAAGAATCATCTCAATTCCTACTTTTTTTCTTTAAAATGTGCAAATTTAAAAATTTCTTTAAAATTTCTTTAAAATTTTCTTTTAAAATATGCAAAATTTTGCATATCCCTTTTTTCTCCACTACTCAAAGATAGAGATTTTAAAATTCCTGCAGGTAAGGCTGCAAGGGAAAAGCAGACTCATAAAAGGGCTCTCATGTCTGCTGAATCATTAACCTATATGTTTAAGTTCTGCATATTTATCTAATTGAAATTTAAGTAAATGAGAATACACCATTATATTACAGGACAATATAGTAAACTAAGCCATATGTGTATATACACACACATATACATATACATATATGTATGAATATAAATTAATTCTAGAAGAATAAAATATTTCAAAAATATTTTTCACTTGATTTTGATTCCTCTCCTCCCCTTCTCTACACCCTCACACAATCACTAGACTCTGAGTCTTAAACTAGCAACATAAAAGCATTATTTTTAGAAAAGATTATAGGCTAGCAAAAAAGGGAGATAAAAAGGGAAAGGCAGGAGAGAGGACTGAAAGAATCAGAAGAGACAAGTCTCAAAAGAAGTGAACTGATGTCAGTGTCAAAATGTCATAAGCTCCTGTGAGAGCAAAGTCCAAACAATAATAGGATACAATAAGGCATAACTCATGCATGTAGGCAATGTGGTTGTGATATATTTGGCACAAATGCCTCAAGTTTGAATATGAAAACTGCAGTCAAGTTCCAGACTGTGCCCCACCAGCAGATAGCATCTAACTGGTGTGTTAACCAACCAACAAATGATCATGGGATTAAAACACGAATTTTTCAATTGCTTTAACATTAAATTTGCTTAGTTGTCACTCAAACCAAGATAACAAAAATGTAAGGCCAGTATGCCTTTTTGTTAACAGTACAATTTTACCTGTATCATGCATTCAAACTGGTACATACATAAGCCCAATTCTGCCATACTTGGCTTAAAAAGTTCACGAAGTCTATAATCTTGCATTAATTTAACAAATACACAGAAAGCTTCTTCTTCAGGCATCTAAAAGAGAAGGGGAAAAAAGCAACACAGGTTAATGTTCTGTAATACACAAAAAAGCTAAATGCTATTTCAACTAAGAACCCATCCAAGTATAAACAGTGTTTTGAGTGAAATGTGTTACAATGTTAAGAACAATAGACTAGGTATCAAAAGATTCTAATCTCCCATTCTCAGAATGAGAAGTTAAACAAATCTCACAGCCTCTGAGACTAACTGCCTCACTTGCCTAATTCATGAATTCAATCAACCAGTATTCATTTAGAGCCAGATACTTCTGCTCTCCTGGGTATATACCAGTGAGCAAAATTAACACTCTACCCTCATGGAACTTGAATCTTTTAGTTGGGGGAGATAGACAATATGTGTAATAAATCAATTAATATATGTCAGATGGTGATGAGTGCTATGAAACTAAAATAGAGTAGGGTCACAGGAAATGCTGGGGAGATACACTGCTATTTATATAGGCAGATCAGGCAAGTCCCTTGATAAGGGATCATTTGAGTAGAACACTGAAAAAAGTAAGGGACCAACTGAGGAAAGAACAGTCATGGGAGAGTAATACAAGGTCTTGAAGTAGAATCACATTTGGCATGCTCAAGGAACAGCAAAGAGACTACTAAATTAGGAGTAATTCTGTAAGTGGTGGTTGGGTTACGGAGGAGAAATACACAGAACCAAGTTACAGGGAGTTTTAGAGGTCACTGTAAGTAAGGATGTGGACTTTTACCTTACAAGAGATGGGAAGACTTTCAGCAGTTCTAAGCAGAAATTATATGATAAAATAAGTGTTAAAAAAAAAACTTGTAAAATAAAATTTCAAAGAATCTTTAAGGGTTAAAGATATGTTTCACATTTTATGTGAAACTCACAAGAAAAATATTTTATGTGAAACTCATAAGAAAAACTGTATCAAATAAGATAATGAATATAAGAACTCTTTACAGAGCTACACAGATATTCAGAATATTTTCTAATTTTCTAATGCTCATTTATTCACATTATTCTAATGTGTTTTAAAAGAAACCTTGGAGAGCCTGGGTGGCTCAGTTGGTTAAGCATCCCATCTCAGCTCAGATCATGGCTTGTGAGTTTGAGCTCCACACTGGGCTCTTTGCAGACAGCTCACAGCATGGAGCCTGCTTCAAAGTCTGTCTCCCTCTCTCTCTCCCCCTACCCCACTGGTGCACTCTCTCTCTCTCTCAAAAATAAACATTAAAAATTGTTTTAAATAAAAAATAAAAATAAATAATAAACAAATGAAACCTCAAAGGATCTCTAGGCATTTATTCTTCTTACTAACAACTGTTTCTAGTAACTTTTTTCCTGGCCTTAACACAGCTATGGACAGAAGTCAAGTGTTACTCTTAGTAAAATCCGTACTTCCTTCCTTCCTTCCTCCTAGCACGTATAACAACAATTCTGCCTTGAAGACCATCCTTATCAATTCCATAAGCCCTACAGCCCGACTGATTTATGTTAATCACTATAAACCCAACAACCTGGAACTCTCATCCCATGTGGTTCTACTGCTCCCCTAATTTAGCCCCATGTCCAGCCTTCCCTAAACCTTTTCCACAGCACTTTCTGCAACTCACAACCTGCCATCAACAAAATACACTACCTAGATCCTCAATCTCTTTACAAAATATTCTTTCAGTTTCTTCCTTTAACTGAAACTTGGCTCCCTTAAGGTGGCTGTTTTCTTACTATAGCACTGGAAAAAGCCAGGGAGTGGAGGTGATTGTCCCTTCTTGGACCTCACTGACTCGTTGTCATTGCGTTAACTCCCCCTTCTCTCTGAAACAGTTAGTATGGATATTACCTACTATTTTTCTTTTTTGTAGTATCTACAAACCTCTAGGTCACCCACCCAAACCTTACTCATTTTCATGAGGATTAGTTCCCTGGCCTAGCAGATCTTAGCCTTCCTTTCTTCCAGTGAGCTTAGCTCAGGCTCTAGAGCCACGGTGCTTATGGTTCAAATTCCACTTAACCACATGACCTTAAGCAAATTACTTAATCTCTGTTGCTAAGTTTCAACATCTGTCAAATGGGTAAAGTAAGAGCACTTATTTCATAGGACTGCAATGAAGATGAATACACAGAGTATTTACAGTTATATGACCTCACAAGCCTATCACTCATTGATATCACATTACCTTTTTTCTGTTCCCAATTCTCGTGTGCTCTTTGCTGCCTACATCCTGTTATATTTATTCAATCACTTAAATCTACAATTATTTTTGCCTTTCTCTCTCAGTAATAATTCCAACTGTAAGACACTACCCCTGGATAAATTCAACTCTGTAAATTTATTGAGCCAGAAGAAAGTAGCTGGGTAAAAACAAAAACTTAACCATGCTGGCTGGTTTCACTTTGAATTCAGGACCACTAGTGTCAGTGGATCTTTTGTGTTTCTGGTATACTTTACTTTCCTAATTTAATCATTCTCAGCATCCCAGGCCACCATTTCAATCTTTCTTCTCTGTCCTCAAGCTTTCATAACCTCCTTCCCACTAAAACCTTCTTTGGCATTTTAATTTTTTAAAAATTAGAAGCAATAAAAAGAGAGTTTTCCCATTCTCACACTACCACAAATATCATCCTACCTCCATCTGCACCCATTTTATAGCATCTTGTCTCTCTCTTCAATTGACCTGAACCTTTATCCCGATTCTGTTCTCCTATTTCCAACTGCCCACTTACATTTACACTTGGATATCTGACAGACACCTCAAATCACTCATTTCCTACTCTGCCATTACTTGCCCTAACTTCCACTCAAAATCCGCATGTGTCATCACTGTCTCCTTTCCTGTTTCCTCCACATCCAATCTCTCAGTAACTCCTGATGGCTCTATATTCAAATTATTTCAAGAACCAACCACTTCTGACCATAAACACCTAGTTCGAACCACAATCAAAAGAGTAGTCCATTGTTTGGACAACTCATGGGTCACTCTGCTGCCTCCTCGGGCTTCCTTCCCAACAGTGTATTCCCCATAACAGCATGGAGCTGCCAGAGTGATCCTTTCAAAGCATGAATTAAACCATTTCACTCCTCACTCCACTGCTCAAAACACTCTAGTGGCTTCCCATATCTTAAGTAAAAGCCAAAATCCTTACAAGGTCCTACATGACATGACCACTGACGACTTCTCTAATCTCTTCTCCCACCACTACCTTCCCCTTTCCATTCCACCTTTACCATCCCTCATTCCAGTCACAGTGGGAATGAATAAACTTTTTGTCTTTTAAGAATTTCTTCTCAGGGCACCTGGGTGTCTCAGTTGGTTAAGCCTTTGACTTTGGCTCAGGTCATGATCTCATGATTTGTGGGCTGGAGCCCCATGTCAGGGTCTGTGCTGACAGCTAAGAGCCTGGAGCCTGCTTCAGATTGAGTGTCTTCCTCTCTCTCTGTCCCTCCCCCACTCACGCTCTGTCTCTGTCTCTCTCAAAAATAAACATTTAAAAAAAAGCATTTCTTCTCTTCTGAAATATCAAAAGTTTCACTCCGTCCCTCCTCTGCAAAAGCATGAATATGGGAAATGTCAATATTTTTTTAAGTTTAAAGTAACCGAATAAAAGACCAAAGTTGGGGGGAAATCACTGGGTCCTTCTCAAAAAGATTGAAAACAATGCTTTCAAAATGAAAAAGTGTGACACTGAGTAAAATATAAATATGAAGAACAATCACCCAGTTGTTTTATAGCCGCTCCTTTCTATTAGAAATCTGTGCACTTGAATCTTGGAGCAACTGCACAGCTACATACATACCTTTTCTGTGACACGGACTCAATAAGAATCCATGCCTTCTGCAAAAGTCTAATGGGGACATTATCTACCTAATTTTGTAGGAGTATTAAGATACACACAAAAGATATCCAGCACTTTTAGCTATTTTAAAACAACATGTACTAATTAAGCTAACTTTACAAAATTTTGTCCCAAACTCTGAGTTACAGTTTCCAAGCTAACATGTGGGAGGCAATATAGCATAAAGTATAACAGAATAAGCTTTAGAAACAAAGAGATGGGCCATTGAATCTGGCCACACTACATTTTCTAGCTTATGGCCTTGGGCTAGAAAATTATTGTTATGGTAATATAGTAGCTGCCATTGATAATAATAGGCAAGTAAATTAATCAATAAATTAAAGTATCACTACCATCACTGCCTATAGAGTCTTGGAGGAAAACGTGGTGGCCCCTTGGGATTCCTATAGTGCTAGGTCTACTGATAAGAGATTCGTAACTCAAGTAAGGAAAAACTGCTCTTTAAACACTCAACAGAAATGACTACTGAAAGGTTATTTTGGAACTAATATGAAAGCAAAAGGAATAGAATTATGAAAAAAAAATCTCTGGATTTATAGTAGGAATGCTGGAGTTCAATAGTAAAAAGCCTACCAATATTAATCAATTACAAATTAGGAAAAATCACTACTGTGCAAAACCTCAACATTAACCAAACTAGTTTTGTTTTTATTATTTACAATCTAATGTCACCTAGATATGGACAATTATCATGTAACAACTGGTAATAGTTCCTGTATTATAAAAGTAAATATCAGTCACTCTTATAAACCAGTTTCTCTGACATCAGGTTTTCACTACTCTGAAAAGTAGTGTGTATATATTCCTGAGAGTTACAAAGCTTTAAAATTTGGGCATAACTGTTGGGAATTGAAGCAAAGCATGGGGCAAAACAGTTTCAGATTCCTACTCTGTTTTTATCTACCAAGAAAAATCATCTTGGGCAAGTCATTGAATTTTTATTGCATGTCTACTATGTGCCGAACACCACACTAGGTTTTTACGTATATTATCTCATCTAACTCTCACAATGAATCTGAAAGTAGACAGTATTACCTAATTAAAGCTCAGAGTCAGATTAAATGATCTAACCCACGTTCAAAGAACTCAGTGTAGCACCAAGATGGAAAAACCAGCTTATATATATGACTCAAATCAAGCTATCTCCAAAGTTTCTCTTCAGACTACATTTTAGTCTGAGAATATAGAGTGGACTTGAAAAAAAATTCAACGAAAGAGAAAACACTATTTGTCATTTCCCTTCTAAGATATAAACTAATGATCTTGTCCTTGACTCCTGAAAACATCCTATCCAAGCCCATTCCAAAATGAGTCACTATCAATAGAAATATAAGTTATGTCCCTGGAACAGTAAAAATAAGGATCTCTATTTCGAGCCTATAACAAGACAGACATAATAAGCCCTTAACTCTGTGACAACCAAAATTTCTTTGTGAATTTGCAAAGATGTACAACATAAATAAGATTTTTATACCAACACTTTAGTCATGTCCTCCTTAGCTGGGAAAACATTAGTCTCTATTAAATATTGACATAAAAGTTAATATTTAAAAGTAGAGACAGGCTTTAGTAGAATATTATGGCTCAAACGTAGATACCAAAAAGTTGAAATTTTGTTAGTGGCAGGATATTCTTGTATATGTTATTTTCAAAACTTTTAATATTCTAAAGTGAAAATTATCCCTATTTAAATTATGCCTAAAGAAAAATAGCCAATATCAAATGTTTAATAAAAATAAGAATGATTCTTTAATTCTCCAATTCAACTTCAATAAAGAACTTAGAAACTTAATACCTGTACTAACTTACCTGCATAAGCAACAATCCAACTATAAAAGCACTTCCTTGACAGTAACCAACCTCACGATCCACTAAAGAATATGCCTAAAAAGTAAAAAATGTTCAAAATACTTTAACATGATGTATTATATCTTCCTTCTCTAAAAACCTAAAAATAGTAAGATGATGGAGTAAAGACTATTTATGTTTTAGAAAAGCTTCTGCTTGCTTGTTGTACATGTTATCCTATTAGTGTTCAAAAAGTAGGTGATTTATTACATAAGATTTTCTTTTGACAGTTTCCCAGTTAGAAATCAACAACACTTAAGGACAAGAAAATAAAGGAACTTATACTTAGTGAAGTAACAAAGCTTTAAAAATGTTCATCTGATAAAGATAAAAACAGTAAGGCTAAGGTAAAGCACTAGAAAAAACTAAAATGGTTTAAGAATAAATTAATATTTCACAGAGGTAGTTGAAAGGAAAAAGAACTATGTGAAGAAAAAAGGCAATATTGAAAAAAAATTACAATAGCGCACACTTTGAAGAGCTAAGAGTTCTTAACAGTGCTGGCCATAGTAGGCAGAAAACTGGTCCTACATTGTGAAACTCACATAAGATAAATCATCCATTTTCATAAAGGATCTTTCTATGGTATAGTGATGAATAAACTATTTGATTTTAACCAATACCAAGCGATATGATGAATTTTCTAAGTTCTGCAAACTAGACAGCCAAATTTTTGTCAAAGCAACTGATTACTGTATAATTTCAACCTTCAAAGAATTCATTTTAAAAAATGAATAAATAGAACTTACCTTCATTACATTAAATAAAACCTCCTGTCCAAGGCTGTCTTTTTCCTTAAAGAAATTGTGTTCAGGATAAGTTCTAGCAATGTCCCTACGGATCAATTTTTCACAAGGTGAGGTCATTTTCAGGAGTTCTGAATACTGATCCTTAATTGGCATACTTTGTGCACTGCATAAAAGTTGCCAAACTATTGCTCTAAAATGGTGAGGTATCCCTTTACGAACAAGCTCCTAAAAATAAAAATAAAAGTAAAATAAAATTTTAATAATGAATGATTGAAGTCTCCTACCTTAAAAGCCAAAGACGACTTATTGAGGGTTGGAATGGAGTGGAACACTTCATCAAATTTATAATTTACAAAGCTACTCTTAAATACTTTTAACCAAGGCTAAGGCTTAGACCTTGGGCGTGTCTTATTCTGGTCAGGGGGGCTACAATGCCATGTACAATGCCTCTTGACATTTCTCCCACAGTATGGCCTCTAAAGCTATTAAGGAACTGAGAACCTGCAGAGCTGTGAATGAAAGCACTGTAACCATTATTTTTCAAAGGTATGTTTTAGGCCAAAAAAGGTAAAACAGTGATAGCTCAAAGACATAGGAGGTTAATACTTCATTCCTGAATATATAAAATGAGAGAATTTCTAAAATAATTTCCAGCTATATATTTCTACAATTATGAGACATCTGTAAAAACTGTTATCTACAATTCAAAACTTCTTATGGACACAAAAAAATGAAAACATTTATATGTTTTAATCAAGAGCAGGGCTTTTTATTACAGCATTTAGAAAGTACTAGAATCTAAGTTTTTTAATCTTCCATTGACCCATGCCTTGATGCCCCTTTGTGATAAGAGGAAGAAATTTAACAAAGAATATGAATACCTTAACTTGCTTTTCCTTCTTTTTGCGTACATCTTCCCATTCATTAACAATTCTTCCCCAAAGAATCCAAGAATCTTCTTCAAGGTGGCTGAGGTTGCTAGAGGCTGATGAACTTGATACAAGGGAGGAGCCACTGTTTCTTCTTGACCCATTTACAGATCTTAAAGATTTACTATCCGTCTCTAACAATCTAAAACATAATTAAACATTGTTCAAGATCTAATTTCACAGTGATACTGGATGAAGTGATGAAGATACTTAGAGCTTCACTAATAGCCATAATTTCAGAATATGCCTAATTTCAATAATACCTGGTTGCTGCTGTATTTTTCATCTAAGCATAACAATTTCAAAATTTGATAGTAAATTACCTTAAATATTTTAGTGATATTAGTCCCATCATAATTTCCCTACATCTTCATAAACACAAATTAGGAGAAATCTAGTGAGGAAAGTAGTTGGGAGGTCTTCAGGAGAAAAGAAATTGCCAGTGGAACAGGTTTAACAAATTCTATTGAAGAACTAATCCTAGCATCTTTAGAATGCATCCTGGGCTATTTAAAAAAAAAAAAAAAAGCCAAGGAGGGCCAAACAAATTGCCCAAATTCTTTCTCATTTTTTCGTTTTTTCTTACCCATGTATAAATCTGCCCATTGTTTGACCATGCAGTATTGGCATAAAAAAGTGAACTAGGGTGCGAAGATGGCTTAGTGAGTTAAGCATCCGACTCTTGACCTCAGCTCAGGTATTGATCTCAGGGTTGTGAGTTCAAGCCCCTCACTGGGCTCCATGTTGGACATGGAGCCTACTTAAAACAACAACAAAAATGAACAAAAACCCTGAACAATTATTAATAAGAAAATTGGAAGCTTTCACTTATTTGTTATATACACATATATTTATTTACAATTCTAGATTCTCATGAAACATAAAAAGATAAGGCAAAACCAAGACCATCCATATTGCGACACACGAAAAACAAGGTGTAGCATAGTAGGAGCTTCTGTGTTTAGATAAAGGACTTTAATCCACTCAGTCTCCATAATCCCTACAATCTCCCCCCAAAACTTGGGCCAACTAACAGTTGTTATTTATCACTGGGTTTGCACTCTCAAACTGAGGCCTCTCCCTTCTTAAGGTCCTTTTGCCTTTGTATTTCCTTGTCTGTTCAAAGTTGACAATTTCAGAGATCAATTCTATGACATCAGGACATCAAATCTATTATTTATTTCATAAAGAAATGGACTTTAATGAAACCTTGGAAAATGTGGCTCTCTCACTATAAAGATATAAATTACATGTCATTCAAATAAGGGTCCTCAAAGATCTGTGTTTTGTTTTTTTTTTTATTTTTTTTTAAATGTTTTATTTATTTCTAGGAGAGAGACAGCATGAGCAGGGGAGGGTCAGAGAGAGAGGGAATGACAGACTCTGAAACAGGCTCCAGGCTCTAAGCTGGCAGTCAGCACAGAGCCCGACACAGGGCTCGAACCACGAACCGTGAGATCATGACCTGAGCCAAAGTCGGACGCTTAACTGACTAAGCCACCCAGGAGCCCCATAGATCTGTGGTTTTTAACAAGGCTATTACTTATTTCCAAAAATGCCTTGAGAAAGTCATCTGTTTAGGATATAACATAAGCTCCCAATATTAATTTAAGGTATATAAAAACTAATAAAGAAACATACGTGTCAAACACTATTGAGCAGACTATAGAAATACCCTTTGAATGGGAGAGTTATAACTTATCTTTATATCCCAAGAACATTTAGCGCTATAAAAGGCACATTAAATATCGACTGAGTTGAAATAAAATCAAAATCTGCATTTTAAAAAAAGACTCCAAATCCGAAATATGTCATATTCATTAACACAACACAATAATAAAAACTGAACAAATTCTATTCACATTCATGGGATAGTTTAATACATTTCCACTGCAACAATTTAAGTTAAATATCTCAAATATGGCTAGAAACAGGAAAATTTGTAAAAGAGCCAAATTAAGGGTCAACTATTTGCTATAAATATTCTTTATTAGACAAAATAATTAATGATAATGTTTTACTTTACTTCTGCTTTTTCCATATATATTATTTCAGTAAGTCTACAATATATCTTACAGAAAAATTAGTGTACATATGTAAGCACTTTTATGTATGATTGTAATCCCTCAGAATTCTAAATGGAATATAGAAACAAACTTTAGTGAAACAACTTGAACCTAAGTTCTTCATTTCAGTTAATTATTCACTGAACGCTTGCCCTATGCTAAATAATGAAACTGCAGCACTACCATTAATAAAGAGATGTAATTAAAAAGAATATAATGGTATTTCCTAAGATAAACCTAAATTTGAAATATGATGGAAGTAAAGATTTTTTTTTAAAGTCCCTAAAGAGAAGGCTTTTAGAGTGAGAAAGGTCTCAGAGATTGTCAACTTCTGGCATAAGCACGAATACCAAGTGCAATCATGGGTGAGTTACAGAAGAGGGTAAAGCAGTTTATCTTCAGAGGACACTGAAATGACATACATAGATATAAAGAACTATGAGAAAAATTTATAAATGAAATATTCCAAAGATAACACACTATTTAAAATACTGTTCTTGGATCCAATGGTAAAAAAGACAGCCTTTTTAACAGATGGTGCTGGGAGAACTGGACAGCAACATGCAGAAGAATGAAACTAGACCACTTTTTTACATCATACACAAAAGTAAATTCAATATGGATGAAAGACCTAAATGTGAGACAGGAAACCATCAGAAACCCAGAGGAGAAAGCGGGGAACAACTTCTTTGACCTCAGCTGCAGCAGTTTCTTGCTCAGCACATCTCCAAAGGCAAAGGAATTAAAAGCAAAAAGGAACTACTGAGACCTCATCAAGATAAAAAGCTTCTGCAGAGCAAAGGACACAGTCAACAAAACTAAAAGGCAACTGACAGAATGGGAGAAGATATTTGCAAATGACGTATCAGATAAAGGGGTAGTATCCAAAACCTATAAAGAATTTACCAAACTCAACACTCGCAAAAACAAATAATCCAGTGAAGAAATGGGCAGAAGACATGAACAGACACTTTTCCAAAGAGGACATCCAGACGGCCAACAGACACATGAAAAGAGGCTCAACGTCACTCATCATCAGGGAAACACAAAGCAAAACCACACTGAGATAACCACCTCATACTGGTCAGAGTGGCAAAAAGTAACAACTCAGGAAACAACAGATGTTGGTGAGGAGCTAGAGAAAAGGGAACCCCCTTGCACTGTTGGTGGGAATGCAAACTGGTACAGCCACTCTGGAAAACAGTGTGGAGGTTCCTCAAAAAATTAACAGTAGAACTACCCTACGACCCAGCAATAGCACCACTAGGAATTCATCCAAAGGATACGGGAGTGCTCATTCGTAGGGGTACAGGTACCCCAATGTTTATAGCAGCACTTTCAACAATAGCCAAATCACGGAAAGATTCTAAATGTCCATCAACTGATGTATGCATAAAGAAGATGTGGTTTACATATACAATGGAATACTACTTGGCATCGATAAAGAATGAAATCCTCAAGTTGGCAGCAATGTGGATGGAACTGGAGGCTATTATGCTGAGTGAAATAAGTCATTCAGAGAAGGACAGATATTATATGTTTCCACTGACACGTGGATCTTGAGAAACTTAACAGAAGACCATGGGGGAAGGGAAGGGGAAAATTAGTTACAAACATGGAGGGAGGCAAACCACAAGAGACTTTCAAGTACAGTGAACAAACTGAGGGTAGATAGCGGGAGTGGGGAGAGGAAATGGGGAAAATGAGTGATGGGCACTGAGGAGGGCACTTGTCGGGATGAGCACTGGGTGTTGTATGTAAGCGATGACCCATGGGAATCTACCCCAAAAACCAAGAGCACGCTTTATACACTGTATGTTAGCCAATTTGACAATAAATTATATTTTTTAAAAATCTTAAATAATTAAAAAGAAACTAAAACACTGTTCTTGCCTTAACTCACGAGATGAACAAAAATGACTCAAATGGACAATAGTCATTAATATGAAAGCTAAAACTATTAAAACTCCTCGAAGAAAACAGGAAAAAGACTTCACAACCTTGGAATAGGCAAAATATGTTAATGGAAACAAGGACACACTAACCACAAAAGAAAAAAGTGATTAACTAATGAAGTGGACTTCATCGAACTTAAAAACCCTACTGTTCAAAAGATACCCGTAAGAAAATGAGAAAAAAAGTTCTCAACATACATATCTGACAAAAGACTGGTTTCCAGAATACACAAAGAACTCTTAAAATCAGTAATTAAAAAGGCAAACACCACAATTTTTTAAGTGAATAAGAGACTTAAACTGACACTTTACAAACAGGATAATCAAATGGCCAACAAGCAACTGAAAAACATTCAACATGTTTTTAGTCATCAGGGAAAAGCAAGTTAAAATCACACTATGTAGGGGAGTCTGAGTGGCTCAGTCAATTAAGCATTCAACTCTGGATTTCAGCTCAGAAGATCATGATCTCATGGCTCCTAAGTTTGAGCCCCACGATGGGCTCCACACAAACAGCATGGGATGCCCTATCTCCCCTTCCCCTGCCTTCACATGTGCTCCCTCTCTCAAGGTAAATAAATGAACCTAAAAAGAAACAACAACAAGAAATCACATAATGTATACATTAGAGTGGCTACGGTTGTAAAGACTGACCATACCAAGTGTTGTCCAAATGGGAACAATTGTAACCATCACATATTATTGATGTCATAGTTCCACTTTGAAGAACTACATTTTCATTTGACCCAGGAAGACAAATGAATACCCATATCCACAAAAAGGCTTGAAGAAAGTTCACGGCTTTATTCGTAATAGTTAAACCCAGAAACAACCCAAATATCCAGAAAAACTAAATGATCAAATTGTGATATATTTATTCACTGCAATACTAACTCAGCAATAAAAAAGAAACAAACTGCTGATACATATAATAAAATGGATGAATTTTATAAACATTAGGTTGAGTGAAAAAAGCCAGATGCAAAAAAGTACATTATATGATTCCAGTTATATGAAGTTCAAGAACAAGCATATTATAGAGAAAATATAGGAGTAAATCCTCATGACTTGGGGTTGGGTACTGCCTTCTTAGGGGCTCCTGGTGTGGCTCAGTTGCTTAA